TGCTTTCCACGCACTTTAAGTACTTTTTCATATACCACAGCAAAAACTATAGTCTGAGAAATTTCAAACATGATTAAAGGCAAGTGAACAGTCAGTAAAAAAAAAGAAAGAAAAAGAAAAAAAAGAAATACACAATTTACAAGCATAGATAAAATAAACAGTAGTATTCAGATACAGAAATGTTATAATTAAGTGTAAAATAACACTGCATAGTGTTCACTGTATGAATTAAATTTAGATTAATCTTTGTTATAGCTGTTTTGTTGTTTGATTAACATTAGTGACATATTCAGCAGCACGACAAAATGAACATGTTAAAAAAGATAAAGCAACTTGTAATAGCATTGTCAATTTAAAAGCGACTAAAAAGTATTAATGTTTGTAATAATAAAAACATTAAATAAAATTGTAGTTATTTACCTTTACACAGCTTTAATAAAACCATTAATACATATTTCTACTTTTTTGTTATATATATAAAAGGCAAACAGTTCTTATGAAAACATTTGATGTGTGGCTTCAGGTCTGTGAATGTCAAACATTTAGTCTATTAATACTTTAATATTTTCACACTCAAATTCTCTTTATTTTTAGCCTGATTACTTATATTGTGGGATTGGCTCTGTTATTTATTCAGCTGAAAGCACATATTCATAGCACACTCCAAATGTCATGCTTTTCCTGGAAGATGAGACCACCAGATGGGTTGTTCCACTCCTGTGTCAGAATAGCCAGTAATTAAAGGTTTTACCTTGAATCGCCCCTGCCTTTACATATTTCACACAGATTCTTATACCTCAGTTTTTTTAAGGGACGTAAAACCAAAAATAACGCCTAAAATGAGTTTGCATGAACAATCCTCTTGACGATTAACCTTGAGCCTGGAGCTCAAGCTCCACCAGGTTCTGCAGGATTGGGAAGATTGATTGGAGTTGAGGGAAACTCTTCATCAAGACACTGCACAGATGTAACACTCCTTTATGGGAATTCATAAACATCACAAAGGTCTGAGAGCTTTCTTATTGTGAGCGTCCTTAGTAAGGTCTTTAGGGTGTAGTTAGTGCCTTACTGTATGTTGGAGGTCTTATGGTGTAGATAAATGATGGCAATGAAGGTTATGGTTTAAGAGTTGCTTAAGGTGGCATACACACAGGTTACAAACATAAAGCTTAAAATATAATATTTATGGAAAAGGATAGTAAGAATACTGGGACATCTATCCAAGGCCTTCTCAGGCCTGAAAAGAGTCTGGGTTTCTGTCTAGGTCTCTTTGATTGGCCTTATCTGTATGCAGAGAAATATAGTTCAATAGCTCAGTGATACATTTAAAGATGGCCCTGATAAGTTGAAATATTGCTCAAAAAGCAATACCAACAGCTTTCCTAATGAATTAGCTACTATAGCAGATGTTGCTTTTGGTTTCAGTACCTTAAAAAGACGAACACAAAGTCTGTGTTAATGACTCCCAGAACATACCAACTTCACCTGAATGAGAGTTTCTGTGCTAGTGTGACCATACCCAAAAGCCTTTTTGATGATTTCTAGAAGCAGACTGAAGGATATGAGCAGTCTTTGCTGCTGGAAGTGTCTGTTTGATAAGCACTGTGCTTGATTTTTTTGAGCTTTTCTTTATCTTTTCAGGGTCAGACTTGCTCTTTCTGTTATTTGCGGCTGGCAGAAGTCATCAGTATTGTGTTCTGTCACTTTTACCAGTACATACAAGATAATTAGTTCTTGTCAGTGTAGGAAGCTACTTTAAAACTGTACATTGAAAGTCTTTCATGCTCACCAAGACTGTTCATAAAAAGAAAATACAGTGATATTGTGAAATATTTGTAGAATTTAAAATAATGGTTTACTATATGAATATATTTTAAAATGTAATTTATTCCTGTGATGCAAAGCTGAATTATCAGCATAATTACTCCAGTTTTCAGTGTCACATGATCCTTCAGAAATCAGTCTAATATGCTGATAAGCTGACAAGAAACATTTCTTAATATTATCAGTGTTGAAAACTGTTGTGCTGCTTCATATCTTTGTGGAAACTGTAATACATATTTCAGGATTCTTTGATGAATATAAACTTCAAAAGAACAGCATTTACTTGAATTAGAAATATTTTGTAACATTAGAAATGCCTTTACTGTCACTTTTGATCAATTTAATGCAGCTTTGAAAAAAAATCTCACTTTTCCGAAACAATGCATAAACTTATACACCCTGCTACTACCCTAAAAACATTCTTCCTTATGCATTTTAAGGAAGCAATATCTTTTATTTATTTAGGCAATCAGAGCAGTATTTATCTGGAAAAAAATAACTAAATGCAACTAATAAAGAATAAGGGGAGGAATTTATGTTTACAGACCTGTTGTGAAACTGGCAGGAATTTTGCTTGAACTTTTTCTTTGCACATAAAAATGAGCACTTGTACACAAATACAGATGAATGACGCATAATCTGATTAAAAAACAACAACTATGTAGCATAAATAGCTAACCTCTGTAGTACACACTGTCATTCATTAGGGTGGATGAATATGCTCTGTTTGTTAACATGTAAATGTAGGACAGGCATATGCTAATGAGCTCATTAGTGGGGTTACTGTTTCTGAATTAGTAATTTTTGCTGCTTAGTAGGGCTGTGCGATTTGGGGGAAAATATCAAATTGCGATTTTTTTGACAGATATTGCGATTTGATTTGATTTTAAATTTGCAAAGTCAAGCTTCAGCTCAATATTGTCAATAATGTGCAGCACAGTATGGGTATCATTACCCTGCTGAAGAAAACAATAGAAACCATCACAGAAATTCTTATAGTTTCCATTAAACCAGTACAAAATTCCTTTCCAATAGGAATGACTGTCGTTCTATTGGTTGCCATCTGCCAGATTACATCCCACCAATAGAATCCATCAAATAGACACCATTATAGTTTACATTAAAACCAAACAAATTCCCATTATAACCCTGAAATCCATTACATTTGTTATTGTGTTTTGGGAGGGGTTCTATTGTTTTTTTTTTTCAGCAGGCAAGATTATAATGGTATAACTACTTTTACAGAATTTACTTAATTTCAAAGAAAATATTTGTTTATTTTTTATAAATAAAGAACTGTATTTCTTAAGTCAATTATTAAAGTATTACATATGTTACATAGGCTGATTTATTCCTTTTAAGTATTTGGGATTTTAAGAGCAAGTGGAAAATGTGCTGAATGCTTGAAATTAGCAAGCAATGTGCAAGATAACGTTCACATACTAACAAAAACATCTAAGAATGTATTTTATTCTCCAATACTGAAAACAGAACAGACAAGGGAGCTTTTGATATGCGCTGTGACGCAGCTCTTGCAAATTACATTTTTGGTTAGTTGTCTGTCATTTCGAAGCTTAAGTTGCATACGGTTTTCTTTAGTTTTAATTTGCCTAACTATCGATCTGACCCAGTAGACGCCATAATCCCACTCTGTCTCTCTCCCGTCCCGCTTTCCGTTTTTTTTTTTTTTTTAATGGTGGGTGTTTACGCAGTTGGCTAGAGCAGTGCTGATTGGGGAGAACGGAGGTGCGCTCACTCTTGCCCAGGGCAAGTAAGACTGCAACTCAAGGCTTCCAGTCGTGCATATGCTCTGGAACAGTGTAATATCGCGTCCACATCGCAGGCTTTGCGATTAGGAAATCGCAACATCTCAAATCGTGATATTTAATATATCTCAGCTTCATAAACATGGTATATAAAACTCTTTATCCCTGTGGTAGAAAACCCTGTTTCTTATGATTCAGCTCATTTAACTGTTTCACCAGCAGTGACCTTGCTGCCATGCCAGCGTTCCACACACTTGTGTACTTGAGATCCTTGAGATGTCACAGTGTCTCCGGCCTTATCTCAGGAGGTCTTGGAGATCCTTTTCCGTATGGAGGCCAAGGACATTCTGTTGTACAGTGCTGATATAAAACTCCCTCATTGCATTTTTCTGTAGTATTATTTTGTTCCTGTAAAAGACAGAGCTGTTTTTGACGGATCTAGCATCCTGTTCCCGTAGCCGTTTCTGCTGAGCACTTTGGCTGTCGTCCCTTTTATGGAAACCAGACAAATGTGTGTGATGGGAGACGTTTGGCAGGACTGAGTATGTGTACGGAAAGCTGCTCTGACTCATTCAGATGTCTTTGTGCTTGTGTTCCGTGAGAATGTATTGTTGTGCTTTCATGTGGTGAGTTTAGTGTGATTTTAATTGTGTTTGTATGATCCAATGTGTGTCTGAAAATGAAAACACTCTTGGTGCTGTTCAAAAAGTGTTTGACCAGCACTTGTCTGTCTGAGAAGATAAACGTGAATAATGGTAAATGAGACATAACAATAATGGCTCAGATGTACTTATTTTATGCTGGAGTTCTTCAAAGATCAGATGAACCAGTATTATCTTTACTTACAAAAAAAGTGTCATGGTAATACTTCTGACATTTACTGTGCTGCTACAGTGGTATTGTTTGAAGCACTATGTAAATGCCATGGTACATAAAAATGATAATTATACATTTCCAAGGTTATTATTGTTAACTGAAACTAAAATATTACTTAAACATTACTCATCATTAACTGAAATAAAAAAAAAATTAAATATAAAAAATATATAATTTTTATTTCAGCTAGTTGCCAAGGCATGGATGCAACATTTCTCATTTTTGTTTAGTTGAAGTACTAAAATAACTAAAACTTAAAAAATTGACATATTAAAAAAGGCTAATAAAAATGACAAACACACAAAATTAAAATGGAAAATATGAATAAAATCTAATTCAAAGTATTAACAAAACCTATTATGGTAACTCAATGATACTAAAATAACAATGTTTGGTGCTATATGATTGTATCATGGTGCCACAGTGCTTTTTCACAGTCTAAGTCAATATCTTTTCCACTTAACCTAGGTTTTAAAATGCAGAATGATTCTATTTTAGATTTAAAAGTGTATTCTTTGACTTTTTTCCCATCAGCCACTCCTCTATCCGTGCGAAGCAGCAGTGACCCTGCCCTCGCCCCGCCCCTGGAAGTCATTTCACTGGACCCTGAGGACACCAGCAGACCCCAGTCCACTGTGAGTGAACACACACCACATGCTGATGTTTGATAGGAGTGTCTGGGAAAGTGTCAACTTTCTTTTTTCAGTTCAGTTACAGTAAATGAAGGCCAGATTTGTATTGTGCTTTTGGAAGAAGCAATACAAGACTACTTTTGAGTTCTTGGTCTTCTGATGTATACTGTCCTTGTTTGCAGGATTTACACTGAACACTCAACATTCATGGTCATATTATATTTGTGCTTAAGTTTGACCTTTTAGCTCTGCCACATTGTTATCTTACTTTCTTCCATGATTGTTTTCATCAACAAAGCTTTTACTCTCGCTATATGTCTCTCTTTCATTCTTTGTGTTTGAGGTCATCTATTAAACAGCTCTTTTTGCTCTCACATTTAGACAGAGACAGACACAGCACATATACTACTGCTCAAAAGTTTGGGGTCAGTAAGATTTGTTTTTCTAATAGACAATAATACTTTTATTTAGTGAGAATGCATTAAATTGGTCAAAAGTGACAGTAAAGACATTTGTAATGTTACAGTAGATTCCTGCTTCAAATAAAATGTGTTCTTTTGAACTTTCTTTTTATCAAAGGATCCTGAAAACATTTTTTCCACAAAAATATTATGCATAGCACAACCAGTTTCAACATTAATAATAAGAAATGTTTCTTGAGCAGCAGATCAGCATATTAGAGTGGTTTTTGAAGAATCATGTGACACAAGACTGGAGAAATGGCTGCTGAAAATTCAGCTTTGCATCACAGGAATAAATTACATTTTAAAAGATATTGAAATAGAAAACAGTTATTTTAAATAGTAATAATATTTCAGTTTTTAATGCATTTTCATCAAATAAATGCAGCCTTGGTGAGCAGAAGAGACTTTTTCGAAACCATTTCAAAATCTTACCAACCCCAAACTTTTGAATAGTAGTGTAATTTTCAATATGAATGAACAGTGTTTAGGATTTTGCTGAATGTACTCTCAGTGCCTCGGGGTCACACAGAAAGCCAACACAGTATATTTTAATTCTGAGTGTGCCATTTCCTAAATTGTAGCACTTTCAGGCTCTTGGAAACTGCTGAGTGTATTAGGATTACATACATAAAACTGTCCAATATCTCAGAAATATTAGCATCAAACGGGAAAAGAAAGTGTAACGCAATTGTTAGGAATTCTTAAGGTGTCTGCAAAATTACGACTCGTGCAGATGCTCGCACACATCCGTCCCAGATGGCTCTGAGTGACAGTAATCATTGCGGTGCACTCCTCAATGACAGAGTGAGGGCACGCTAATGCATCAACGGCAGCACTTTTGAGATGGTGAGGATTCATAAATATATGCGCATTCTCTCTGCTCCCAAATAAATATCTGCTTCTGTCAGTGCCATCACTGCTGATTCCAATTCCTCCTGCAGGACTTCTTCAGCACTCTTAAGAATCAGGTGACACATGTAAAGGATAATTGGAGACTGCACTGTGATTTTGTTTTTGCTAGTTAAAATGTGATTTATAATACTAGGACATGTTCCTGGATCAACATTTCTATCAACCAATCAGTGCCTACAGTCAGAGGCCAGCTTTTAGTGATGCTCTGGAAAATCTTGATCTTGAGCAAGTCTGAACCCCACTGAAAATGAAATGAAATTAGCCTTTTAATTTCATTAATGTTATAATACTGTACATTATGCTGTACATGTGCATGTCACTGTTGATCAGTTTCAGACAATATCTTGTAAATTGACACTACAGGTCAAATATTTGGGTTGAGTAAGATTTTATAATGTTTTTGAAAGAAGTCTCTCACCAAGGCTGAATTTATTTGATACAAAGAAAGAAAGCAAGGTAAAAAAAGGCAAACCAGCAAACCAAGGAAACAAGCAAACTATTGAAAGTAAAAAACAAAACAAAAACAAGAATGAACCAGCTAATAAATGAACAATCCAAACAAATAAATTTATGAAAGAAAGAACAAATTAATGATCAAAAAAGGCAAACTAATAAACCAAGGAAACAAGTAAACTGCTAAAACAAACAAAAAATAAACCATGAATAAACCAATAAAAATGAATAACAAACAACTTAAAGTAAGATAAGAAAGACAGAAAGAAAGAAACCAATAAACCAAGGAAACAAACAAACTTCAGAAACAAACAAAAAATAAACCAAGAATGAACCAACTAAAGAAATGAATGAACAAATGAACAAAAGAAACAAAGAAATGATCAAAAAAGGCAAACCAAAGAAACAAACAGACTACCTAAACAAACCAAAAATAAACCAACCCATGAATAAATGAACGACCAAACAAACAAATGAATGAAACAAAAAATAAACAAGCAAACTAAAAACTACCAAAAAAGGTAAACCAACAAACCAAGGAAACAAGTAAACTACTGAAATAAACAAAAAAAATGAACAAAGAATGAATAAATCAATGAACAATCAAATTTAGAACGAAAGAAAAAGAAACCAACCAACAAAAGAAACAAGCAAACACAAACAGTGAACAAAGCGAATGTCCCCTGACCGTAGCATTGTATGAAAATCAATTAAAGGTCCTTGGTGGTTATTAGAGCACTGACCATAATTACACATTATCTCACATTCATGTTTATGTGTGCTGGAAAGTCCAGACAAGCTCCTCAGCACATCTGATAATCATCTTGTGGCCAACAAAACGGGGGAGAGAATCACCATCCCACACTCATAATTACCCGGCTCTCCTGTACATACAGCTGTGAGCAGAGCAGAGCAGAGCAGAGCTCAGCAGCCCAGAGAAACTCCTCAAATCATTTAACGGTGTGCTGTGCTTCAGTGAAGGTGACCACCGGCTGTGAGCTTGAGCTCCTGGGATGGATGATAAGGGACTGGGAGAGCTTCAGGGTTCCCCTTCCCTTCCCTGCCATAACATGAACATGAAGCTCAGAGTTCCTCCAGGGAGTTTTTCAGAAAGGACTTCCATTAGATCAGAAACTGCAGTGTGTACTTCAGACACGTGATTTACACAAGTAAGACATTGCGTTCTGATCTGATGCTCCTGGAACAACCTGATGAGATTCATTAAAGATATTATTCAAGACTCTAAACCTCATTTTAAAATCTGATCTGGTCTGGTTATGGAATATTGTTCAAGGACTAAAAAGGATGCTGTTCCAAGAACTTGTTCTAGTTGTTTTGGTTTGATTTCATAACTTGCTCCTGAATCAACAACATTAAGCCTGGAACAATATTTACAATGAACCCATCAAGACTTTTGTTTTGGATCAGATCAGAAACTTTACAGAGAAAAAAGCAGCTTGTGCATGAAAATCATATTTACAGTAAACGCTAACTGATGGATAAAGTTGTGTTAAAGGCACACTAAGAGAATTTTGCCAAACGATGTTGATATTTGAAAACACCCAAACAAACACGCCCATACGCCAAAAGGACATTGCCTCTATTTTGATAACTCTGCCCCACACGTACGTACATGACCCTGGCAGCGACGATGGCGGAATCTGTGTGTTACTATGGTAATTCAGGTCGAATGTGTTTGGTAGTAGTGTGTGTTGAATGGAAAGCTGCTCCAATATTTATGCGGGTCCTACCTCTTGCCTGATCGTAACCCTTCTTTTTAATGTTTTGTTCCTCCAAAATGTTCCTCTTTTTTTTCTATCTGCCATCTCTCGCTATCTATAGTCGATCTGCTAATATCCGTCCTGTGCACTCGCTGAGCGCTCTCTTCTCCCTGTCATTATTAGACACGCCCCTTACTGCTGATTGGCAGCAAGCGTGTTTTGGGACACTGTGGTCAAATATTGCCAAGCAATAGCGTTAAAAGGCTCAAATATCATAGTATGTGGTATAGTACCCCAAGGTACATTAAAGAATGAATGCCATGGTATTACTAAGGCACCATGGTACTCTTAACAGTTTGAGTTAGTGTCTTTTTGTCTAGGTCTTATGTTAGAATTTGTGCTGAGTTATCTTGTACATTAGATTGATGATCAGGCTTTGCTGTTGTATTATCTGTCAGCTCTACAGTTAGATTGATGGATGAGATGGACACAAAGGTCATAGAGAAACACATTTATGATGCAAATCCCTACACACACACACACACACACACAGACACACACACACACACAGTCTCTTACAAACTCTCTCTCATTGGGCTTTGACATTTATTCAATTACCGTATTCCCAAGAGTTTACCCACCACTCATAAGTCTTATGTAAACAGGCCATGCACCCCGAGAGCCAAGGACACATATTTAATATAGACTCCGCTCTCACGGCTGATGCGTGTGACCGTGAATGTTTTACTGCGTTTACTTCGAGCCTATTTAGGTCGTAAACATATCAACAAAATCCTCACATCACGCCTGAGTCAGTTTTTTAGGGGGATCATATTATTTTTTTCCCCCCGTTGTTCTATTTAGTTCCCACCAAAACCTGCAAAACCGTATTTTCCAGAATATAAGTTGCATGTTTTTTTTTTTTTTTTTTAGTTAGCTGTGACTTATATAATGCAATTAATGTCAAGTGCACAAAACATATACAAAGCACAAGTTTGTATTGGTGCCGAATGAGCTCAGTACGTGAGCCCAAGTTTGTTTGTGGAGAGCATTTCAAACAAATATTTAAAAAATATTTTTGGCTTGCTGTTTATAATACATGTTGTTTATAATGAATGCTATAATTTATGTTTGTTTTGTATTGTATTTGTATATTTTTAAATCCTGTTCTGACTACACTTAAATAAAAAAAATTAAAAATCATTTAATTTACCAGTATTTTACATTATATTTAATTGCAATAATAAAATGTGATTTATACGACATATGTTCTCTCAACAATGCAATTTTGACCCAGTGCGACTTATTTTCTGAAAAAAATACTGTGCTTACTACAACCATAATAATTCATTAATAGATTCTTTTTTTTCAGGTGGCCAGTTTCATTGTTATTTTATTTATATTGTATTTTAAGACAAAAAACGGTATCAGTTTATCAATAAAAGCTGAAATATTATTGCAATTTAAAATATTTCTATTTTAATATGTTTTAAAATGTAATTTATTCCTGTGATGCAAAGCTGAATTTTCATCATCCTTACTCCAGTCTTCAGTGTCACATGAGAAATTATTCTAATATGCTGATTTGCTGCTTAAGAAACATTGGCAACACTTTACAATAAGATTCATTACTCAAAAGTTATTAACTGTATTAGTTAACATGAACTAAGCATTAACAATACTTCTACAGCATTTATTGATCTTAGTTCATGTTAATTTCAACATTTGCTAATGCATTATTAAAATCAAAAGCTGTATTTGTTAACATTAGTTAATGCACTGTGAACTAACATGAACAATGAATAACTGTATTTTCATTAACGTTTACAAAGATTAATAAATACTGTAACAAATGTGTTGTTCATTTTTTTCGTTCATGTTAGTTAATACATTAACTAATGTTAACAAATGACACCTTATTGTAAAGTGTTACCAGAACATTTCTTATTATTATCAATGTTGAAAACATGAAGTCAGAAACTGTAGTCATTTTTTGTAAACGTTAGCTTGAACATGTCTGCTTTCCCTTTTCAGAACTGTTATGTCATCCGACCATCTCTCCATTAAAGTCTCTCTATGTCTCTGTCGTCGTCCTCATGTGTGCACTCAATAAAGAAGGGAGATGCACATTAACAATAGCCCCGCCGCTTCTTCTGCCCCTGTGGCCCTCAGTAGCATGTGGCCTAGCGGGGGGGATAATCGCTCTCTACTCAGATAATCTAGGTCACTTTCTTGTGTTTGCTGCGTCCCGTAAGGGGGGGGGGGGTCGTCCCATGTGTGTGTGTGTTGGGTGGAGAACAGGGTACGTTCTGGACCAGCATTAGGAGTGGCTTCACGGTGAGGAACGTGGACTTACCCTTTTACGGTGCATCATTTTGTTTCTCTTTATCTTTGTGTTTGTTTTCTGTTCATTTGCCTATTATCTGTTTTGATCGCTGTCCCCAGATGAGATATTTAAAAATGAGATATCGTTTAAAAAGAAGTGTAAGGCAGTGAGAGAGTGACATCAAGGACGCAATTACAGTATTTCAGTGCAGAACTGTGTTCAGCCACTTTGGCATGTTGCTCAGTAGGAAACATTGAAGCTTGGTGCGGATGTTTTGGGTGCTCTAACGAAACTGAAGTCATGGAGATTGTATATTTGTGTTGACAGGGTGTTGGTCATGCAACCACTGTGAAGGGAGGAGCCATGGACAAACCCAAGGTGGACGTCCCAAACTCCTGGACTGGACAAGTCGACTTAAGGTGAGGGAGTTTGTGTATGCATATATACATGATTGTGTATGTGCACTCATAAGTTGGGGATAAAATAATAATAATAGCAATAACAATAATAATAATAATAATTCAGTAATCAGTGCAAGCAGCAATCTGTCCTGAGATTACTTTGGGTCTTTGTTTTGCAAAAGCTCTTTGTTGTCAGATTAAGGTTATTTAAGTGTGTGTCTGTGTGTGTGTGTGTGTTTGTGGGGCCCTGTGTGTTTTGGACATGAGGTCTTTGCATACTGTTATATATATATATGGTTTTGGTCAAAATTTTACATACACTTTGCAGTAACTGCAAAATGTTAATAATATTAACAAAATAAGAGGGGAGTGTGGAATCATGGGAGTTGTGGTCTTCATCCCCACAGCCGATGCAATCTGACGGGACTCGGGCAGAAATCATGTTCATGAATGAGCTAATGATTTATTCATGTAGTAGAATGAAGCAGGGTGAGGCCGTTGAACGAGCGCGACACATGGCTCGAAAGCAGCGGAGCTTTTATTATGCCACAGTCGACCGCTTCCGGTCGTGCGTATGTGGGGGGAAAAAAGCAGCGCTGTTTTATCATACTAGATACGTTTGAAAGTTCTGTTATAATGCTACTCTGTGCGGTCGTCACCGGTCTAATAAAACGCACAACATATTAAAGCGTATTTGGTGTTTCCATGTTTTCTACAAAACAAAACTGGAAATCGAGGGGTTATGACGTCATTGGCAGGCGACACAATGACACTATAGACACGGTCCGTGTCACTAGTTAAAATTGCTTATTTCTCTGGATTTAAACATTCTTCTAAACATTTGGGATAATGTAAGTACACAAGTCAGCAAAATATATAACACTGTTCTAGTGGTGTAATATCTTACATATTGTGCCTTTAATACTGTGTTGTTAACTGGATCATCCTGGATGAAAAATGAACAACATATTAAATGTATGTAAATACTTAAATATTAACATTTATCAATCACTTTATTTATTTATTTCATTTTGGATATATTTATTTACATTTAATTACATTTTATTGATGCATTTATATATATTTATTTTTACTTACATTTATTTTACATAGTTTAATTGTTGATTGATTTGTTTACATTTATTGAAATGTTAGTTATTATCATTTGTTACTTATGTATTAATACATATATTCATTTAAATGTACAAATATTTGCACACAGTTTCATTTTGTATGTATATATATATATATATATATATATATGTATATATACTGTATATTAGGAGTGTAACGGTTCTCGGTAAAAGATCGAAACCGTACCGTTCTCCACCCACGGTTCGGCACGCACATTGCACTGCGGTTCAAATTAAATCTGACAACACATCTGTAATATGGCTTGTGTAAAACAGACAGAGTTCGGCTAATGTCTGTTTCTTTCGATATGCATTCTGGCTTCCTAATAGATTACAACAACAGCGATGAACAAAAAACTTAGACAAACTAGTCACTCTTTGTAAACTTTGTTTAATGTGACTGCCGTATGCTGGAAAATGACCAGTAGACCCGTCATTTATGCCGTCATCACCTGGGAGTTGATAGCGCGTGTGCGCAGATGAGACCTGAACAGCACACGTTGCTATCTGTGTTTAAACTTAACTCATTTAAGCCTTGCCAGTTTAAACATTCAAGAGCCAGAAGACGTGAATGAGAACTCGTGCGCGCAGTGAGAAGATTTGTGTGTGCGCTCATCCGAAGCGCCAAACATGTCTCAGAACGCATGCAAATCTTTAGTTCTCTTTCATGTCTTGTGCTTGAATGGACAAATTCACACAAAAATTATGTCAACATGCCCGTTTTGGTGAGTATCCTAGCAGACATAGTCGGTTGAACGTACAGTATCAGTGTACTGGATCCATGCATTTGTCTTAAAAGTTTTAAATATTAATCGAACAACCAAAAGACATGGAAATAATTCACAACTTTTGATTGAACATGATATAAAATGTATCAGTTTCTTTTTGTATATATGCTTATATTATATATACATACAGTATATACTCACATATAGGACTGAACGATTAATTGCATTTGCGATAATATCGCGATATGAAAAACCGTGATTTTTTTTCAATCGCAGAGGCTGCGATTACACTCGGTCACGTGACACACGAGAGTAAAGAGGTGTGTTCGACTTGAAGATCGATCGGTGTAGCCTATGACATCAAAGTACGGTGAGAGAAAGCATAAGGAGACGTCCGCGCTCTCTTATAGCTCTCCCAGTACTTTGATGACACACACCCATCTGTCTAAGCTGCTTCAAGTCGAGCGCGGGCCATCAGCAGAAAAAGAAAAGAAATAAAACCGTAAATAGCCAAAGGACGTAATTAGAATGGGAGATGGATCGGTTTGTGAAAGCGAAGAGAAAAGCCATAGATGAAGTCGCACAGACCCAGGCAGGTGCTGGTCATTTAAAAGCTAAATGCAGAAAATATGACGAGGCATATCTTTTTTTTTATAGGTTTAAAGGGGGGCGCGACCAAAAAAGTTTGAGAACCACTGGTCTAAAGTTAACAGACAGTGTTTAGTGCAGTCCACATATTTACATATGTTTATTGCAGTGACTTTGAATTACCTAAAGTAGTGTGGTAAAGCAACATATTTGTTTTTAGATTTCTGCAATCTACTTTAGTTTGTGTGATTTGTTACTGACTTTCATATTAATGTTTACACCAGGCTTATTTGTCAGTGCTTTATGTTGTCATAATTATTACATGCTTACAAGGTTGGAAGTTCAACAAATCAGTCAATATACTGTGATTGTAGTTGTTAAACAAAAATGTAATTCATATCAATTCATGCATCACCTAATTTCATCTTAACATATAGGCCTGGCCTAAAGAAAAGAACATTTATGTTTAATCTAATAGTGTGTTGGTCATACTATACAATGATTTATAGCTTGTCTTTGTTGTATAATACAGAACATAAAGAGCTTTAAAAAATAATTGCATATTAAATCGCAATCGCAATATTGGTAAAAAAAAAATCGCAATTAGATTATTTTCCAAAATCGTTCAGCCCTACTATCATACAGTGCCTTGCGAAAGTATTCATACCCCTTAATTTTTTGCACATCTTGTTATGTTGCTACCTTATGATAAACTTCTTTGGATTACTTTTTTTCCACATCAATCTACACTCCATATACGATACTGAGAAAGCAAAAACAGAATTGTCACAACTTCGTAAATGTATTCAAAATAAAAAACTGAAATAAGTACATTGAATAAGTATTAACATTATAAACTAAATATTTAGCTGATGCACCTTTACTGTCTCAAGTTTTTTTTTTTGTTTGATGCAACAAGCTTTGCTCATCAGCATTTGGCAATTATCTGCCATTCCTCTCCTCATCTCTTCACCTCTCAAGCTCTGTCAGGTTGGATGGGGGCAGATGCACATTTTCAGGTTTCTCCAGAAAATATTTGATTGGGTTCAAGCCCAGGCTCTGGCTGTTTCACTCAAGGACATTCACAGAGTTGTTTATAAGCCACTCTTGTTGTACTTGGGGTCACTGTCCTGTTGGAAGGTGAACCTTCTGCCCAGTCTGAGGTTCTGAATGCTCTGAACTGGGTTTTCATCAATGCTATCTCTATATTTTTCTGCACTGAGCGTTCCTTCTACTCTAACGAGTCCCTCAGTCCCTGCCGCTGTAAAACAGCCCCACAGCTTGAGGCTGCTACCAGCACACTTTACTTTTGGGATGCTAATCTGCAGGTGATGAGCAGAGCTGGTTTCCTTCAAACATGATGAGTGGAATTGAGGTCCATCAGACCAGAGAATCTTGTTTCTCAAGAGTCTGAGGGTCCTTTAAATGCTTTTTTGTAAATTCCAAGTGTGTTTTCATGTGTCTTCACTGAGGAGAGGATTGCATCTGGCCACACCGCCATAAAGACTGGATTGGTGGAGTGTTGAAGTGATGTTTGTCCTTCTGTAGATTTCTCCTATCTCCACATATGATTATGGAGCTCAACTAGAGTGACTATCAGGTTATTGGTCACCACACTAACCAAAGCCCTTCTCCATCAGTTGCTCAGTTTGGCCAGGAGGCCAGCTCTAGGAAGAGTCCTGGTTGTTTCAAACTTCTTCCATTACAGGAAGTCTGTGACCCTTCAGTGAAGCAGAAAAAGAGCTCTACAGGGAGTTCTTTTGACCTCAGGGCTTGGTTTTTGCTCTGATATGCATTATCAGCTGTTAGACATTTTATTAAGACATGTGTGCCATTCCAAATAATACCCATTCAATTGAATTTGCCACAGGTTAACTTCACTTGAAGTTTAGTAACATCTACAAGCAAAATGAATGCTCCTGAGCTAAATTTCAACTGTCCCAGATATGAATACTTATGCAATGGAATCATTTTAGTGTTTATTTTTAATACATTTGCAAATATGTTAAAAGCCTGTTTTTTGCTTTATAATCATGGTGTGTGGAGTGTAGATTGTTGTGGAAAAAACTAATTTAAAGCAGTTTAACATAAGGCAGCAACAAAACAAAATGTGAACAAATGAAGGGATATGAATACATTCGCAAGGCACTGTATTTATGCTTTTAATACTTTTACAATATACTTTTTTCTAATAAACTGTAATATTTAATTTGGCTGATAACTTTTAACACTGTGATCAACTGATAGGATAACTGATATTTAATCTGTAAATGCACACAACCTTATTGTGATATTTTTAAAAGAGCCTTGTTTAACAAGCGTTTTAACCTTGTAAAGCACTTTTATAATGATTGAACCGTATAATATAATATTTCAACTGTTTATCCATGTTTATGAGTCAGACTTAATGTCTTGTGCTTATTCTGTTTTAAATGAGCTTTTTAATGCTTATCTAGAAGCAGCTTTTCTTATTGAAATTCTTATCAAGTTGAAATAATGGAAACGGCTAAACTGATCTCAGCCTGTAAGGTTTGGCTCTTCTGAGCGTTGTGATTTCAGTAGATGATTT